TTCCCACTGTATTCAGAAGTGCGTGGTACCAAAAATGCATCCGCAGCTGATTTTGAAAAAGCTAGCTTAAAGGATTTCGATAAAATTAGTTGGTAAGAACAAAAAAAGAGATGACTTGGCGATTACATCTACACAAAAACAGTAAAAATTCAGATCCTTTGGAAAGAGTTTGAAAGCAGCATGAAGCAAAATGAATCGATAGTGGCATACGCAGTGTTGAAAGAGTCACTCAGCGCAATAAAAACGCTTCAAATAATATGATGTTAAAATTTAATTCTGTCTGATTGGCGATGACAGATGACAATATTTTATAGAGTGACATTTTTCTAAAGTGAAACTAATACAAATGATTGGAAGAGATGATAGTAAAGCGTTAGAAGGCAGGAAAAAAGAAACTAGAGAAGTCAAGGCAGCGACGATAATGGAAGAGTGAACTAAGAGTTGTGATAGAAGGCGGAGCGTTACCTCTAAAACCGCGCAGCTGTAATCAATCAAATCACGTCCAAATACTATGGGATACGCCCTAAGTGATTTGACATAAGAAAAACTAATCGTATACGTTGCGCTAATGGAACACTCATATCTACATTTGAGAGAGAACTTGCTTAAAAAGGACGAGAAAGGAAGTGAAACGGAAAATGAATTTCCGTTTGATTCTACCTATGACACTGTGGTTGGGTGCGTATTCAAGAATAAAGTGAGTGAGAATATCTAATTGAACACTGTTTGATGACTCTGGATTGAATGCACCCACAGCGAGCGAGTTGCTGGTCGAACCGGTGGGCTGCGGAGGAGGAGGTGGGGGACGGGTTATATCCGCAGTATACACATTGAACGCAACTGAACAAACTATTCCGACGGTATTAGTGAAACGACGTCCTTCCACCACCGCCACTGTCGCCGCCGTAACGCAGAGACATCGAATAACAGGTTATGTACGCCTCATAGGAACGGGTAGTGCAGAGGGGGGAAATATGGATGAGGCGATCGAGTGCGATCAGGCGACAGAACGCACACAATAGCATGTGTTGGACAGTTCAGATGTAGTGCGTTGCACGAGCACTGATAGCGGCAGAGGCAAGCTCAAAGATAGTCAGTTGCGTACTACTGTCGGCCGAGCGACCATTAGCCTCGAATGAAAAAACGCGCTCGCCCGGCAAAAACTTTTATACTGCAAGTCTGCTGATAAGAGAATTTGCAAGTCAAGGAGGATAACTTGTTATTTAGTACCAGCCCTTGGCTAAGGCTGTTGATGATGAACGTTCATGCGGATGCACACTCATTACCTACTCTTCAAGATTAAAGATTTCACTTTAGGAAATTCAGCATAATTCTTAGTGTAAAGACTTTGTATACGCTGCCTCCACTTTTGAGAAGAACGATGAAATTTGGGAGATCTTACTTTTCTGGATACTGCCTTTTTTCAAGCACAGCGAATCACTACCAATGCGGTAACTTCGCTGCAGGACGCAAACAAAAAAAAAGTGGCAGACGATGTTTTCATGCGACTTACTAGGAATTAAAATGTTTTTCTAAGTTATTGCCAGCGAATCTGCTCTGGCAGGTAGCCTTTTTTGTAGAAGACTTGTAGAAGAATCGAAATAAACTTGTGAAATTGACGTCGCTTGGGGAGCAGATTCCAAATTTCATTTATTGGTACAGTATTGATGAAAATAGTTGGAAAAAGCGGAATAATACGAGATAGCCATTGCGCTCAGGCGAAATTACTTCTGAAAGTACGCCTAAAAGTCCTAAAGAAATAAAAGAGAACTAGCTTCGCCCATGGAAGCTTAGGGAGGAAAGTATAGGCAGAATACCCAGATATGTAAATCATGAATAATTCCAATATTTTTTTCCATGAGACGCAACCGCTTCCAGCCGATGCACGACGATCTGATAACAAAAATCATAATTATTTTTCTCGTTCAAACACTGCCACTGGCTTCACGCAAGCTATGTAGCTAAAGACGACAATAACTCTAGGAAAAAATAATAAC